CCTTTTGGATAAAACGCGGATATGGCTTAAAAAAGGCTGAAAAACGTTTTTTGGACCATATCCGCGTTTTATCCTTTTGGATAAAACGCGGATATGAATTAAAAAAGGCTGAAAAACGTTTTTTGGACCATATCTGCGTTTTATCCTTTTGGATACCCTTTTGGATAAAACGCGGATATGGCTGAAAAATGTTTTTTGGAAGCCATCCGTCCGTCCGTCCGTCCGCCACTCATCCGTCCGTCCGTCCGTCCGTCCGCCATCCATCCGTCCGTCCGTATCCGCGTTTTATCCTAACCCAAATGGAAACATGGTAATAAAATATTCAAATTTGATGATACAATCTCGAAAATAACTCTGTAAATAATGTTTTTGATGGCAATTCGAACAAAACTATTAAATAGAAGATATGTCCGAAGTGGCCGAAGTTATGTTCGGCGAAAGGTACGGCTAGTCTACATTGTTGTTCAGACAATTTCGTAATTTGATAATATACAATCTCGCTTGACATCCAAAGGCCATAAATCGCGATAATAAATATATCGTTAGGAACTAGGAGATAACGACTTGCTGAATCGAATGGTGGTCTACATAACATGCACCGAACCGAAGATACGAATCTGCAAAGTCGTTTTACAGCAGTGTATTGCGTTAATAGACAGGATATTAAGTTAAAATATGCTATAATAAAAACGAGCTATAGAGATAATAGCCCTTTTTAGCCGTTTACAATCGAGAATACGATTGAAGGTACAGACAACAGGACCGTTACAGTCCGAAAATAAATCCTACCAAATTTAAATACATTATTCTCATACATAATTAAAAAACAAAAAACAAAACAGCAAAACATAACTGATAAAACATTCACATCTACGAACAACTATTTGCGATACAAAAACGACATATATAGCCAGAACATATTGTTTACTAAGTTCTCGGCTTAATTTACATAGCTCCGAGATGTAAAATCTCAACCTATCATATATCGATCTGATTGAACTACTCGGACCATGAAAATATTATTATACATATATAAATACACTCGTACGGAACACTGGGTTATAGGGATGAGATATATCTGAATATACCTTGTGAAGTTCCATTCTTCATGCTATTTTCCTTTTTCCCTTTTTCCCTTTTCATTATTGGCCTAAATGATAAGTACGTTTTGAGTAATGTAGCCGTGCAGTTGTCACATTATTCTAAGATTAATCGGCATCAATACAGGGGAGAGGGGTCAATAATATCGAGCGATGATCAATTTTGATCATTAATTTTGATCGGGCGATGATCATTTTTGGGTAAGGAAGGTCCTGTGATCACATTCATGATTCAAATGGATAACAGTTCACGATTATTGACACGATTTCAACGATTAACAAAAGAATAGACACAGGACAAAGAAAATTTAAGACCAGTAGGCGACCTGTAGCTATAAAATTCGATCAACATGCATATGCAGTATCCAGTCTATAAAGCGATTATATAGTTAACAAATATAAAACATTTTCCGTGTTCATATACAGTTATATCAACACGAGTGGAATTGGGAAAACGAGAAATTGTATGGAATAATTCAATTGTATTGAATTGACGGTAGTAAAAAGGACATGCGAACCCAACCTATTCAAATATAGTGGATTTCTACTTCAATTATTTATCTACAGCAGCCAGCTATTGGAGTACAGGTGTAAACTAAAGTACGTAAGTTACAGTATTAGATTGTTTATTTGTTTATGTTTAGTTAGTTTTGTTAGTCATTGACATTCGTTAGTTTATTGCATATTTAAGTATATCACTTAGTTAATTTAAGTAGTTTATTTTATTGTCGTGTTTCAGTTCGAACCTGCATATTGCAGCCTACATATTGCTACCTACATATTGCTACAATATCTACGCTACACAATCTACCGCCACGTGATCTAATGGCTAACCTATCAACTATCGCTACCATGTCCATTAGATTGGCGTAGCAAATTGCTACCAAGAAACGTTTCGTGACTGTATCATTGTATTGAAATAAAGTTTTGTGTGTTAATTTATCAACGCCTGTTGAGTTTGAATAACGCTTGTACTGTTGCAACCCCTGTGGCTCCCTATTTGGCAACCAGGATTTACAATAGTTCGAATTTAACTTACGTTTCTTCAATATTGCGATTGTGAACAATTGAGTACAAACAATGTGTTGTTGAAGAACTGAAACACAAACTGCTTATTTAATGCACGTTGGTATGCGAAGAATGTGCCTGGGGTAATGTGTTAGATACCTGCTACAGTGGCCTGCGCTGTGTCTGTCAACGCGCGGTTAATCATTTGGTTCGAATCTGTCAACGTGCGGTTAATTATATCTCGTGTTATTTGTCAACACGCTCCTATCAAATTAGTGAAGTTATTAATTATCACCTATAATGGCTCAGGATAATAAGTCCCACACATTGCGTGACTTTCGCAATTCTATTGAAAAACCAATCGATAGAAATAGTGAAGTGCAACCAGAGGACTCTGCGAGCAATGTCGGATCTGAAAATCGCTCACGTTTATCATTACGTTCGCGCGCTAGTTCCAGATCGTCGACCCGTAGTTCTGCAAGTGCAAAGGCTAGAGCAGCAGCAAAACGAGCAATTCTAGAAGCAGAAGTAGCCGCAGTCGAGCGTCTATGTTCAATCGAAGAGGAAGAACTGCGTTTGCAGCAAAGATGAAGACAATTGGAACTGCAAATCAACCTGGCCAAAGCTGAAGCCGAGGAAAGAGCTTACGCAGAAGCACAACTCGAAGACCTAGAGGCATTTGAAACAGTAGATGAAATGTTGTCAGACAGTAGTCGAGTTGATTAAGTCATGTCCAAATTGGAACCATTGTACGCAGAAGCGACAGAACAAAGTTCGCCAACCAAGGAAGCCGGTGATATGATCCGTTCAATCAACAACCAAACGAAAGAGCCTCGTCAGGTAAATCAAGAGCCACACCTAAATATGCCAAGTAGCCTCTATCCCCAAGTTTCAGTACCGAGTGGCTATAACCCAAAGACCATCCAACCAAACGAGAATAATGGTGGTTTTTTCGAAAGGTTACTGGAGTCTCAAGACCGACAAAGTTACATGTTTAATCAGCTTCTTAAACAGCAACAAGAAAACATCAGTGCCTTGACTTTACCAAAACCTAATTTACTCCCCTTCGATGGCGACCCTACCAAGTACTGCGATTTCATCCGTGCATTTGAAAATGGTTTGAGAAATAATGCGTAGTTGCATTCCCATGAAGGAAAATGAAGGATATCGTGAAGCAAGAAAGTTGTTATTGGAACGGTATGGTCAACCTTACAACATCGCCAGCGCTTTGGTGGATAAAATCGCTAACGGACCCGTAATTAGAGTAGATGATGGTGCAGGTCTCCAGAAATTATCTGTTCAGTTGACTAGCTGCAGCAATATTCTCAACGAAATTGGTTATATGAGCAAACTTCAAAATCCTGACACCTTAAGAAGAATCATTGATCGTCAGCCCGTGAGTCACAAGCTAAAATGGCGTGAGTTAGTCGACACTATTATGCGGCAAAAGCATAGAGAAGTTACTGTAAAGGATTTGACGGATTTTGTCGTTGCCAGAGCAAGAGTCTCAACCCATCCTATTTTTGGAAAGGTTAACAACAGCGATGGTAAGAATACGGGAAACGTAAGCAACCACAGACAGCCAAGCAAAGTAAGGAACTATGCAATTGAAGGTAATCAGACGGATGATAAAGATGGAACGAGAAAAGGTGTCAAGTGTCCTTCCTGTGATTCAAACCACTGGCTATCCCAATGCTATGCATTCAAGAAGTTGACGGTCGAAGATCGACACAAGTTTGTTCGCAGAAAGAATCTCTGCAATAATTGTCTAGTCACAGGACATTTTGTCAAGGATTGTCCAAAGAAGAGTTTCTGTCGTGTCCAAGATTGCAAAGAGAAGCATTCAACTTTCCTTCATCCGAAGCGTTTAAGGGATCGGAAGCGACGTACCTGAAGCATTCCAACCAATCGAGGTGAGACGAAGCATCAACGGTGGTCCGTTTGCTACACGTACAGTTCTTGGATGGGTTTTAAATGGCCCATTGGGCAGAACCGGAAATCAAGTGCCTACGTCTAATTTTGTTGAGGTCAACCCAACAATGGAGCTGAAACAGCAGTTTGAGAGATTTTGCAACATGGAGTTTAACGATTTGGTCTACGACCCCAAGGCATCCATGTCCCATAACGATCGAAAGGCAATGAGAATAATGGAAAGCAGCATGAAACACAAGGACGGACATTACGAAATAGCACTCCCTTGGAAGAACTATCCTCCTTGTTTAGAAGATAATAAAATCCTTGCTGGACACCGG